CAGAGATCCGCCTGCCTCTGCCTCCCGAGTGCTGGGATTAAAGGCGTGCGCCACCACCGCCCGGCCAATATATATATTTTTCAAGTATGATTGGATCTTTCTGTAACTGTTTATTCTGTAGGATTGTGTGGTATACCCAGAATATGCTTTACATTGTAATATGCAAAAACCTGTTTGATTTTTCCCTTGTTCATCTGCATTCATTAATTTAATGTTAGCCTTTACCATACCTTCTGAATACTCCAGAGGGCAGGGACCTTCTTTGTGAATTATCTCTAGAAAAAAACATTGTTTCTAGTAACACTTTGCCTACAATCCCTCTTGAAATGACCTTGCTTGCCACAGCCAAGACATTTGACGGTTTGTCTTTTCCTCAAACCTTTAGCGATAATTTCTTCTATTGAAGTTTCATCAGAAGTATGAGATCCAATATCAGCCGTATTTCTAATCCATTCTGCTATTGGTGCTGATCTTGCCTTTAGAGGCCTGATCACCCTTTTGCATTCAGAATTAGCCTTTTCAAAAGCCAAAACTTCAATTATTAGTTGTCTGATTTCTGGATCTGATGCTATTCTATTTACAGCTGGGGTCAATCTTTGTAAAAAGTCAGTGAAGGCTTCTTTTGGGCCTTGTCTAATTGTACTTAATGACTCAGAACTCTTTCCTGGTTCTTTAACTTTGTCCCAAGCATTCAAGGCTGCTAACTGACACAGCTCCAAGATGGGGTCATCAAATTCAAGTTGCCTTTGCAAGTTAGCATACTGGCCTTCACCTAGCAATTGATCTTGGGAAATATTAATACCTCTAGCCCTATTTTGTTCTTCTATGGCCCTAGCTTCCTCTTTCCACCATATTTGCCATTGTAACTGAGGACCAGCTTCCAATGTTGCTGCTACCAAATCTTTCCATTCTTGGGGGATAATTCTGTTCTGAGTTGCCCATGAGTTTAATATCCACTTCACAAAGGGTGAATGCATACCATATGAAACAACATCTTCCTTAAATCTCCTCAAATCTAATACTTCCAAAGGATTACATGGAACTTCTCCATAACATAAGGTTGGTTTTCTAATAACCTTGGGCCGCCGTTCCTCTGTCTGTACCTGAGCAGCTTGCTTATTTTCATTGATAAGTCTTTCTAAGGCTTGTATCTTATCAATCAACTCTTCATATTTGGCACGATTATCAAACCACCTTTTATATTTGGCACAAAAATACACTGTAGCTATTATGGATAAAATACGAAATACCAGACTCAAGGTATTTACAGTCGGCATTACGTCAAACCCAGCTAAGTCGTTTAACGCCTCACTTACTGTTTCCATTTTCAAGTCATCCTTAGTAGCATTATACAGGGTCTTAACTCCCTGCATTGTGATATTTCCCATCCTTAACGTGGAAAAGACTGTTCTTTTTGATATTATTTAACTCTCTCCTTAAGGACTTCTCAGGTGTCTTACCAGATCTGGTGACTTCTCAGTTTGTCCACTGCTGGTGTGATTTCTCTGTCGTGTGGTTGTGCCACGCGCTGGAGCACCAAATGTTGTTCTATTGTCAGTACAGCGGCTGCATCTGATTCTACTGCTGTTTCACCGACTGACGGTGGTTCCACAGTCACTGGCCCGAGGCTCAGGCTGAGGCCTAGCGGGACTTCTGCGTCCCGCCAGACCCACCTCTGCCACTGCAGCCCAATGTAGTTTTTAACTAAGTTTCTACCGTTCTATTTTACCAGTAAAGACTCGGAAGTCAGATGCTGGGGTGAAAACCTTCTAGCAGACCTTCCTCCTTAGCTGGCGACCAACAAAAGGAACTTCCTTCCCACGGGTCAAACTAAAAAAACCCGTCAGACTCAAAGTCCCTCCCTCCTACTTCCTGTGTGTCTCTCTATCCTTTTCCGGACTCCCTCTACCTCTCTATGACTACTTCCTGTCAGGTAATTGCTAGCTCCACCTCTTGACCCAAGGTTTCATTTAATTAATGCAAATTCGGGGTTCACAATGTGATCAGACATCCTGCAACAGATCCTGATCCTCCCGGACCTGTTCCCTTTTCTAGAGAAGGGTGACATCGCCCCTTCATTTCAGCCCGACTCTTCCTGTATTAACACCCCTAAAGGAGCTCCGGCTGAGGCGAAAGAGACACTCAAGGCACACAGAGACTCCTTGGGGAGGCACACTCCCGCCACCCTGCATAAATGTCATTTTACTTAAACTATAGACTGAACTGATATCCTCCACATCATCAGGCTTAAATAGACTTCAGGTTTCACAGTAACTGGAAGGCAGGACCTGGGCTGCCCGGCTCCTGACAGTCGGGCGGAACCTTGATGCTCGCCCCACTGCAGGCCGCGGAGGGAAGCCGAAGCCCTGCGCCACCGTCTTACTAAAGGAGTGCAAGCCCCGCCGTTCGTTCTTCCCCGCGCTGGGCTGGCCACTGGCGGGGCGGGTGGGGCGGGGCATGGCGACCGCGGAGCTCCGGGGGCACGCGGTGCAGATGTCCACCCAGGGGACCCAGCCTGGCGCGGCCCCCGATGGCACAGCAGAAGCTGCGGGACTGCCTTCCGGACGGGGCGGCGGCGCAGCCCTCCGTCTCGGGGAACGCCCGCCCGCTGCTGTGGAGAAGCGGGGACCGTACATGGTGACGCGCGCACCTTCCATTCAGGCTAAGCTTCGTGAGTGCAGCAGTTTGCATGAGGGTCTCTGCTGGAGCGGGCTGCTGTGGCCAGGGTTTGGGCCCCGGAGTCCCATGATCTTGTCCCCAGAGGGGAAGGGGTTTTAGGTGCAGCCATCTCCCGCCGCTGAGAGCCTGGGAAGCAGCGGGACGGGGAAGACCTGGCTGACTCAGAACCTTTTGACTTCCAGAGAAGCACCGGGACCTGGCCAAGGCCGTTCTACGGAGAAAGGGCATGCTGGGGGCCTTGCCGAACCGCCCCGATTCTTCAGGGAAAAGGTCTCGATGGGCTTCACCTCCTCTGTCAGCAGCTTCCAAGGAAGGCCTTTAGCCCCCTGCCTGGGAAACAGGGCGCTGAAGTTTAAGGTTGAGCTAGCTAGCTAGTCTGTTGACAGGTTCACCTTAAGAATGGGAACTGGAACTACCTCTACTCTCCCTTTGAGGCTGTGCTAATATCAAGAAATAGGCTTTGGAATAGGAGAGTTCCATCAGTGCATAGACAAGATAATGCATTAAGGGGAGAGATGGTGGCTGGAGTCCCAGGAATCAAGATGGAGAGCCCCATGAGAATGACCTGGGCAGTGTTTGAGATTTTCTTGTTCTTTCTCTCTTCCTTCCTTCCTTCCTTCCTTCCTTCCTTCCTTCCTTCCTTCCTTCCTTCCTTCCTTTCCTTCAGTGTTTGCACTTTTCTTTTTCTTTCCTTCCTTCCTTCCTTCCTTCCTTTCTTTCCTTCAGTGTTTGAGCTTTTCTTTTTCTTTCCTTCCTTCCTTTCATAGAATGGGAAACTCTCAGAGTTGAATAAGACCCCACACAGTATGGCTGTTTACAGCTGAATGTTGAAACTCAAATGTGAAGGGATTTGCCTGAGATCCGCTGGTTAAATAAGGTGGAGAGAAGCAGCTTTACCCGGTTCGAAAGATGTATTTTTCCTAGGAGCTATCACATGGAGTAGAGTGGGCGAGAACGTAATTTGAGGAGCCAGAGACACCTGTATAGAGCATTAGGTTGTGGTGGCTATGACAGGGTAGAAGGGAAGTCGGGACCGGTCCAATTAGTTCTTTCTGTATGGGGACCAGCACTCTGCCCTTCCCCGTGAAATGCCTGTGCTTTCTTCCCCTCCCCATCTCTCCTCAGGTCAGTGAAGTTTAACAAGGGCTATACTGCTCTTAGCCAGAGTCCAGATGAAAACCTGGTGTCCCTTGACTCTGACAGGTGAGTCTTCCCCTGGAAACAGTCGGGAGTGGCTTGGCTAGCGCTGCAGACTGCTTGGCGCCCCTGCCTGTTGCCTGTCTTCTCCAGGGCCCTTCATGCACATTCCAGGGGTGTTCTCTTCTGAGTACTGTCCCTTCCCGGGATGGCGTGGCTGGAAGGGTCATCCTGTCCTATTGTGCCTGCACTTTCAGTGAGAATGTCTGTTTCTGCTGAGGTCAACTGCGGGAGCCCCTGGTACTCCCTGGAGACTCTGGGCTTGAGCTCTGTGGGGTGCGGTCTTTGCTTCACAAGGCCTTCAGACCCTCTTGCATGTTCTCCTCCTTGCCATTTGCTTCTGTGCTCCATAGATGGCCCCTGAACTGATTGTCTTCCTCTTCTCCTAGTGATGGGGAGCTGGAATCCAGATACTCCTCCGGGTATTCCTCTGCAGAGGCAAGTCCAGAGCGCCTGTGTGTGCAGTGCCAGGCTGCAGGCGGCATCGCCACCACTGCCAGATGCCTGTCTGGTGCCTGCTGTGAGCACAGCACTGCGCCAGGTTCTGGTCTGTTCCCTAGTCTTCCACTAGGCCCTCTTCCCTTAGCAGAGATAGCAGGTGTCTTAGGAAGGCTGTTGAAAATTCAGGAGACTGTATATCCTCAGGGCCAGAAATGATCTCAAATAATCCAGGAGTCCTCTTGATAAATTCCAGCTAAGTGTCTGCTAGCCTTTACGTGCTGGGACGCTTCCTGGGGCTGGGCACTCACTACATTCCAAGCAGCATTGCTTGCTGCCCTCCCCCAGCAAACATACAGCTCCTTCTTAGGGTAGTTTGCCGGTCTTCCTGTTTCTTGCAACCTGGACCCACTGGTCATAGGCCTGCCTTCCAGTGTCACAGTAACTCCAGTTGCCCTTTCTGAGTCAGCATCCTCCACTGAGCCTGCTTTCTTCTATCTCTGGGCAGTTCTGTCTGAGCACAGCACTCCTGGGCTGGTCTTTCAGACATCTTTCCAGAATGATTGTCCCAGGGAGAAACACCGGGACAGAAAAGGCTCAGCCAGGGCATAACAGCATGTACGAGTTCAAATGCAAAGAAGCGGAAGTGGGAGCATGGCTGCACTAGATCTTCCTTCCTTGTTTTCCAAGGAATCTTTGGCTAGTCTCAATTTTTGCAAAGGAGAAAACAGCTTGCATGGGGCACCCTCCTTATATGTCTAAGACACTAAAATCGTTAAAACTAAGAAAACTTACTGAGAGGTGGTAGCGCATACCTTTAATCCCAGCACTTGGGAGGCAGAGGCAGGTGGATCTCTGTGAGTTCGAGGCCAGCCTGGTCTATAGAGTGAGTTCCATTCAGGAGAGCCAGAGCTACACAGATAAACCTTATCTCAAAAAAGAAGGGGGGGGGGCAGACCTAAGAAAACTGCCAAGAATCTCAAGTTTTACATTTTCCTAGCCCTATTGACTTTCCGTCTGTCAGTACCTGGTGAAATCAGGCTGTTGGACTTTGCAGGAGCCGAGCCCTGCCAGCAGAGAAGGTAACAGGAACTGGCAGTGCAGACAAAGCTGCTCCCTACCCCTTTCCGCTGTACCGAATGAACCTTTAATAGTCAAGCCTGTTTTTCTGTTGTTAGCCCTATATTTATTTTTCCTTTCTCTTTATTTTTAGTTATTTTTTGAGACCGTTTCCTCTATATTGCCATGGCTGTCCTGGAATTTACTGTGTAGATCAGGCTGGCCTTGAACTCACAGAGATCTGCCTGCCGCTGTCTTCTGAGTGGTGGAATTAAAGGTGTGAGCCACCACACATGACAGCACTGTATTCTTTAATTTTGACAGGGATATCTGGGTTTCCAATGGGAAAAGTCAGTATGGTGATTTTGGGGTGTTTTGTTTCGCTTTTGGAGACAGGATTTTTCTGTGTAGACCAGGCTGGCCTTGAATTCACCGAGATCCACGTGCCTCTGCATCCCTTGCTGGGATTAAAGGCGTGAAGCCTGGATAGTTTTTAATAAGCCTCTGTGGAGTTCCTCACTGCTGGATGCTTCCTTCTGTAATCCAGGATGTGGAGTTGACCTGGGGCTAGGTAGAGCAGGGACAGGAAGCTGGGCTGTGGTGACAGGGACCTGCCTTTGGGCAGCAGCTCTGCATGCTGTGCATCCTGGTTTATAGTTCTTTCCTCTTCCTGTAGCAGGTGAACCAGGATGTGAGTCGGCAGCTGCTGCAAGATGGCTATCACCTGGATGAGATTCCAGACGATGAGGACCTGGACCTCATTCCCCCCAAGCCTATTGCCTCTTCCGCATGCTCTTGCTGCTGGTGCTGTCTTGGGGATTCTTCCTGCACCCTCCAGTAGCCATAACCCTCCAGGATGGGCCCTGTTCATCGTGAGCCCTGATGGCTCTTCACAGCTCAGTGCACTGGGCACTCTTGCCAGCCTAGAATCACTGGAAACACTGACCTTCTGGGCAGGCCACTGACCTCCAGGCAGCCGTCACCTGGTGCTTCTCCTATCAGAAGCCCCTGTCTGGGTCACAGGCTATCGATAGGTCAAAGTCTGCGCTTCTTAGTTTCAGGAAGCCAATCTAATAAGGGTAGGAGAAGAGACTTTGCGGTTCTTATGCTGCTGACAAGGATTGCTAAGAAAACCATTTGCAGACATTCTGACTGGTGTTTTGTCGGGGTGTTCTGAGGAAAGGAAAGAAAGAGCTCCTCTGCCCAGGCTGTGCCAGGTGGTGTGATGGGAGGCAGAAAACAGCACTTTATGGCTTGCAGGAAGAATCTAAAAGACTAACTGAGACCAATTCAAAAAATTCTGTGTTTTTCTTGCTCCAGCTCTAAGGTCAGTTAACAGGTTTGACCTTCAAGAAAGCACAAAGCGGGTTGCTACTTCAGGTTACATCTGTCTAGTTATGGCAAGGAATAGAACTTAATGATGATGTAGGGTTGGGGCTTTCCGAACCTCTGGACTTGGGGCATTCATTCTACTAGTCCTCCTGTCTGGATGGGCCTAGTAACTGGTCAGCCCTTCCCTGGTTAAAAGGAAACTGTTCTGTCATGTATATGTTCAATTATCTGCAGTCCCTTGGCCTTTGCTAGTTTTTCCACCTGTTTGGTTTTGTTTGTTTGGTTTTGTTTTGTTTTGTTTTGCTAATAGTTGGATTGGCTCCTGGGGCTGGCACCAGAAACCTGCAGGGTTTTTTTTTTTTTTTTTTGTGATTACCAGCAGAGGGAGCTGCTGGGCAGTCAGTGCCTTCCTGTGTTTAGCTTTTAAAACCTTGAGTGAGAGTGGATGTTCTGGTGTGTAGCTGTGTGGCTTTGGCCTACATGTTCAGCCAGGATGGGGAAGAGACCTAAGCCAGCTCCTGGACCCCACTTGAGATAGATAATTCGCAATGCAAGGGGATTTCCCTCTTCTAGCAAGATTTATTCCTACGGCACATTCCTCTGCCCCCTGCACAGGGCTCACAGGCTGGATGCCTAGGTCTAGTAGAGCAATTGCCTAGCATATGCCATGCTCTGGGTTTGAGTCCCACACTGGGGGACTTTGTTCCCACACTAGAACAAAGGAAACCTATGGTGAGCAAAGCCTTTCTCAACCCCCAACCTGAACACAGCAAACATAGGGATAATTTCTCTGCAATACTAAGCCTCTTTCTGGAATTTAGTTTTCCAGGACCCTCTCCCCCACACCTTTGTCTTACCCAAGTGTGTGGTGAGATTTGGAGTGGACAGGGTTCTCAGCATAATGGACACAATAGAATTAGGGGTTGGGATACCACATGTGACTGTCAGAGTCAGTGACTACTAGAGGCTTAGGAATGCTGTGCCCCTATGGTCGTCCTTGGTTCTTGGGGCTGGGTTATAGATGCTAATCGTGCTCTGCAGTGGGACTCTGCAGCGGTGCCGGTATCTCCCATTCTCAGCACCTGTGTAAAGCCTGCAGGGGAGGAGCACAGACCATACCTAGGGCTTCTGGAGATCTGCAGAGGCAAAGCACATGGGGAAAGGGAATGGATGTAGTACAGTGTTGAGGAAGACTTGCTGGTGTGGCTCATGAGGGCCAGAGTGGTGGTAGAACTTCAATGTGGAACCCTCTTCCTGTTGGGATTTGGTTAAAACAGTAGTTTGTGCATTCAGCAGCTGGGGGCGGGGGTGCAGTAACCTCCAAACTACACCCTCTGGGGTGGTTGTTGCTGTAATCAACACTGAGGTACTTGGCTGGAACAGACCCTGGAAGGGAGGTTCTAGAGCTGGGTGGCCTTCTGTGGGAAAGCATTGCTTTGGAGGAAGCTCAGGGATGTAGAGCAGGTGGTAATGTCCAGTTAGGAGGTTCCGGTAGAAATGGTCAGTTGTTAGGGGCTAGACGAAAATAACACCAATAAAGGCACAAGGGTGCCCAGATTCTAACGGCCTCAATTCAGAGTGCTGGGTATTCTGCAGGAAGCCGTCCCTGGGAAGGAGGACATCTGAGCTTCCTCAGGAGTGGTTCCACTGGACGTTTACAGACCACTGTTCTACAGACCTCTTGGCTTGTACTTCCACGGTCTCTTATAATAAATGCAATCATGGTAGTTGATCTGTATTGTATTGCATTGCACTGGTTTTTTGTTTTTTTTCTTTTTAGTGGGGGAGCTTTTTGAGATAGGGTTTTTCTGTGTAGCCTTGGCTGTCTTGGAACTCACTCTGTAGACCAGGCTGGCCACGAACTCACAGAAATCCACTTGCCTCTGCCTCTGCCTCCCAAGTGCTGGGATTAACGAGTGCCACCACACCCAACTTGCTTTGGGAGTTTTAAGAAAGGCCTGGGTATCCTGAAGAAATAGCTTAGTCCAACTGTGTCAATGCCTCCTGAAAACCTTTTCTGCTGTTCCCCAAGGATATTATTTTGGAGGCTGTGAGTAGAATGGACCTTTGGCTTTAGAATGGATAAGCCTTTAGCAGACCCTCTTCAGACTTACTATTTTTTGTGTGTGTGTGTATATACACACACATGTGGGTGTAATGTGGCAAATGTGTGGCAATCAGGGAACAACTTTCAGGAACATGTGGATCCCAGGGGCTGAAGTTAGGTCTTAGGGCTTGGTGGCAAACTCCATTTTATCTTGTGTGTGTGCACTTAAGTGTATGTTTGTGCGCCCTGTGTCTGCAGATGCAGGAGCCTGTGGAGGTCAGAAGCATCCAGTCTCTTATAACTGGAGTTAGACAGTTGTGAGCCACCACATGGGAGCTGGGAACCAAACCTGGGTTCTCTGAAGTACTTTGAACTGCTGAGTCATCTCTCTTGTCCCCAATACAGAACACCAGCCTGAGCTATATGAGAACCTCAAAAATACCTAAGAGGGACTGGGGGATGGCTCAGTTGGTAAAAAGATTACTGTTCAAGCATGAGAACCTGAGTTCGGATCCCTGACCCCTCTACCCCAAATAAGAAGCTAAAGGTAGTGGCACATACCTGTAATCCTAGTTCTGGGGAGGCTGGGCCAGGAGGCTCAGGGAGGCTTATCTAGCCAGTCAGCCTAGCTGAATTGGTGAGTTCCAATGAAAGACTCGTCTCAAGGGAAAAAAAAAAGGTGGGTGGCTCTTGAGGAACATGTGCATCATGTGCACACACATAAACCTGTGCAAACACCAGAAGTCACAATAAAGCAGAGGCAGAAGCACAACTTCAAAGCCAACCTTTGGAACATGGCAAGATAGTCTCAAAACAAAAAAAAAAAAAAAAAAAAAAAAAAAAAAAACGCTGTAAGAACAGCCAAGGCCTGCCTGCAAGCTGTGCATCTGAGGCTGAGGCTGGTTTCCTCTACCACCCCTTCCTATAAAAGGCTTCTGGAATCCAGCCTGCCCACCCCCGGGAAGCTGTATGAAGCAGAATCAAAACCAAAATTGGACACCAGAGAGCTCTTTCTGCCCACATCAGGGGCAGGAATACCAAAGTCTGACTGCTCTTTAATCTGTATCCTCAACACAAATCATCTTTAATTACTTTGACAGAGCTAGAGGGAGTAAGCTTCATTAGCCCACTGGCCTGGCCTGCCCTTCCCTTCTCTGCAGCTGAGAGAGTGGGCAGTCCCAGGGCAAGAACCCTGCTCTTAGACATCACTTGGCCTGTCACTCAGATGCTGACCTGATGCTGGGTCATGCATGTTTTGTCAGCCTAATGCCTTAGCTGGGGCAGTTGTTGCCTCCTGAATGGACACATCTGGCTCAGAGGTAGCACGGAGTGTTGAGAGTACAGTGGAGTGACAGGGCCTGGGTCTTGACACACACACACCCCTCATCCTGAAGAGGGTCCAACCGGGCCATGCTCTGGAGTCAATAACGCCAAGCTCACTACTCTACTATCCCAGCATGCACCAAAGAGTGCACAACAGGGACAGGGATCGGGCTGGACCTGAAAGGTGGAGCTGGCCAGGATATAGGTGACAGGCAGGGAGGGCAGGGAGACTGATCTCTACAGCAGACAACAGGCCCGGAATATCAGCAGATCCTTGGGCGCAGTAAGCTTCAGTGAGACACTCTCATTAGCCCCAATGAAGAGTACTCCACCACGCTGCAGAGGGATTTCTGCTTGGACTGTGGGTGTGGTAGCTGTCACCGTCCCCTGGACCATCAGAAGGATGCTGGCAGAGTCTAGTGCCAAGACCTTGTATTCAGTGACAGAGCCAGGGACCTGGGAGAAAGAAGTGATACAATAGTATAGTTTACACTCTGCTCCTGGGTTCTAGAACATCTCAAGGGCCCTGTTGCCTCCTTCCCCACTGTTCAGGCTCTTGGCACTATGGAGACCCACATCTGGTCCCTGGCAGAGAAGTAGATGGGCTCTGTGGCTATCCATACTAGGTGGGCTTGATAGGAAATCCAGCCCTAGGTATAGCCCTGTAGGTTTGACATGCTACACAAAGGATACCCGCCTGGCCCATATACTTACCTCCATCTTCATAACAGTGAAGTCTGGTACAGGGGGGTCATAGATAGAGAGATAGGGGTCATCTTGACTCCGTGTTGGGGTAAACAGCCTGTCCTTGCTGGGGCTAGGTGTGTAGTTGAGCATTTCACACAGAGTTGGCACATCAATGAATTTGGGTGTCAGGCCAGCACGCACAGTATTGTCTGAACATGCCATGCATTCCACACAGTCTGAGGACAGATAAATGTCATGAGCTAAGATGGTAAAGTAAGCCATGGGGTTTGGCTCGCTAGGCCTGGACCTCCTAACATAGGCCATATGCATGCCCTATAAATTAGGTAAAAATGTGTGAACAGGGCCGGGCGTGGTGGCGCATGCCTTTAATCCCAGCACTCGGGAGGCAGAGCCAGGCGGATCTCTGTGAGTTCGAGGCCAGCCTGGGCTACCAAGTGAGCTCCAGGAAAGGCGCAAAGCTACACAGAGAAACCCTGTCTCGAAAAAAACAAAAAAAAAAAAAAAAAAAAATGTGTGAACAGGATTGTGGGAGGACATGGTAAGGGTGCTAGGCATCAAAATGATATTAACCGCTATGCTAACACGACTCATCTTACACTTCCACAACAGAATCCTGTGAGTGGATAAGCTGTCAACAGTCAGATGGGGCACCAGCCGGACCTGGTGGCTCACGCCTATAATCACAGCACTCACGAGGCTGAGGTAGGAGGGCTGCCATGAGTTTGAGGCCAGGCTGGGCTACAGAGTGAGATCCCGTCTCAGGACAAGAACAACAACAAAGAGGCCGTCGAGGTGGGTAAAACCACTTGCCACGCAAGCATGAGGGCCTGAGTTCAAATGACAAAAACACATACTAAAACTGCTGTGCGGTACACATAACTGCAATCCCAGCATTCCCATGGGGAGATAGAAGAATCCCTGGAAGTTCGCAAGCCAGCTAGATTGGAGTATGTGGCAAAAAAAAAAAAAAAGAGAGAGAGACCCTCAAACAAAACAGAATGAGGGTCAGCCCCTAGCCCCAGGTGGTCCTCTGAACTCCACATGTATCCTACGGTCCATGTGCACCTGCATTCACAGACAAGTGACAGCCTTCTGTTGCATCACCCATATGGAGTGTAAAAATCTCTGGGGCTGGAGAGATGGCTCAGTGGTTAGGAGCACTGGCTGCTCTTCCAGAGGTCCTGAGCTCAATTCCCAGCAACCACATGGTGGCTCACAACCATCTGTAACGAGATCTGGTGCCCTCTTCCGGCCTGCAGGGAAACAAGCAGCCAGAATACTATATACACAATAACTAAATAAATTTAAAAAAAAAAAAAAAATCTCCACAGGCCGGGCAGTAGTGGTGCACACCTTTAATCCCAGCACTTGGGAGGCAGAGGCGGGTGGATCTCTGTGAGTTCGAGGCCAGCCTGGTCTACAGAGTGAGTTCCAGGACAGGCTCCAAAGCTACACAGAGAAACCCTGTCTCGAAAAATCAAAAACAAAACAAAACAAAACAAAACAAAACAAAAAAAACCACAAAAAACACAAGCGAGAGGACCGAGAACAGCAGCTCTGTCCAGTGCGGCTTGACTCAAACTGATTCCACACTCATCAAAAGGGCTTAACATCAGAACCTGTGGCTGACAGCAGACTTTAAGCTACGTCTGCCACCCAGCTGGCAGCTACGCTCCATACTGGCTCAGTCACCCTCCGGGGTCAAAAGCCGAACGGTGCTGACAGAGGCCTCCTCCACCATCCTCCCTCTTTCATCCACACCAAGAAACAAGGTCTGCAGGGGATGGCAAGTGGAGCACACTACTGAAATGGGGCTCACCTCCCTTCAGGTAGGCATGGGGCACGTTGGCCTCCAGAAACATGGCTTCCCCCGGCTTTAAGGTGAGCAGGTTCAGAAAGTAAATGGCGAAGCATCCGATATCACCCGGGTACTGCTGGTGTAGCTGCAGCAGGAGCTTCCCACAAATGTCGTCCATGCTGTTTCCGGCAGATACTGGGGGTCACAGAGCATCCCAAGGCCGCTAAGACACACGTGGTATTCACAGCTTCACCCTGACGAGGGGGTCTTAGGGAACAGTCCCTGCCCCTAGGAATGCAGTTGCCATGCTGGGCCTCTCTTAAACATCCCTCATCTTTGATGGCCAGTCACCCTTGGTCTTTCTCTCGCAATAGTGCCACCTCTCACCTTAACCATCTGCATGCCTGGCCTGGCTCTAGCAGCTGGGCACTCTGGTGCACAGCTAGCATCCTAGCCCCAAAGCAGAAGGATCGCCACGAGTGAAGGGTAGACTGGGCTATACACTTAGCCAGGACTGCAGAGTAGGACCCTGTCTCCAATGATACAGGCTAGGGATGCAGCTCCGTTGGTAGAGTGCCTGCCCAGCATGCATGACACCCTAAGTTTGGTCCTAGCTCCACAAAGACACAGGCATGGTGACACATGCCTTGTAATCCCAGCACCCGGGAAGGAGAGGCAGGACTATCAGATTTTAGCTATCTAGTGAGTCTGAGGCCACCCCTGGTTATGAGAAACCTTGTCTCAAAGAGAAGTGGGGATAACACTGTGTGAGAAATATTTAAAACACAGACACCACTAGCATCGCCAGTTCAGATTTTGACAAAAACATGTCCAGACAATTGCCCAAACAAAGTCTCCTGGT